AAAAAATACCACAACAAAAAGGAGACTGTATGGAATACCCAGATGTGGTAAAAAAGTTCAACAAGAAAATAAATATTAATTATTATATCGAAAGTCTATTTGGTCTCTGTACCCGTTTTATAAATTATGATGATAAATATCAACCATCACCTGAATCCCTTTTAAAAGTCATGGATCGCAAAAAGAAATCCAAGAAGAAGAAATTAAAAATTGCTAAAGATTTATTGCAGAACAATGACTCTCCGAGTCTAAATGAAGATGAAATAGCAAAAATTAAAGATGAAAAGTCACAGAAGTTGGCTAAAAAATGGCTCAAAAATTATATTAAGAACTTACATGATGCACTAAAAAAAGATGAAGCTATTATCTCCCATTTATAGAAAAATGCTACTACTCAAGCTGAAAAAATATGTTCTGGCATTAGTGAAGCTGGCATAACCAGATCTTCAGGCATCTCTGCGGAGCATAATAATTACCTTAATATATTAGACAAAATTACAGACTCCACTCATTCGAAATTATTGAATCTACTTTCAAAATTGTCTAAGCTTAATGTAGGATATAGAAATGCGATATATGATTTAATTACACAGGTGCAAAAACGCAAACCCAAAATTACAATTCTGGAACAATATATATTTCTATATGATTTAGAATCAGAGTGTCGAGAATTAATAGATTTCTGGAATACATAGTATAAGATGGTTGGCCTTGAAATTACCCGCTTCAAGAATTATCAATCACATATAGCAGTAAAAAATATGACCCATCAGACATTGATGATATCATTGACCTATATTGTTAAGTATTCTACTTTCTTATATTAAATGTATTAGAAAAAAATCTGAAAAATCATATGATTTCGATCATATTATAAAAATGCAAGATTATAATGAGATTGATACTAAAGCCTTTACCTATGCCAAAAGACGTGAAGGACAATGCTTGGCTAAAGTTAGATCAAACCCTAATATTTATTTATAGGTTTGTAAAAATCAGCATTGATGAGAAGCATCCTATAGAGATATGAAATGAAATTATAGGTGGTGCAATAGTTGTCCTCATATATTTGAGCGAAGATGTCGATATATATTCGAAGAATTATTATATAAAAAATTCCCACCTCGAAAACCTAAATTTTTAGGAGGCTTACAACTTGATGGATATAATGAGGAATTATATTTGGCCTTTGAATATAGTGGCAATCAGCATTATCAAATCGTTCCTTTTTTCCATCCACAAGGACAAATTAATTTAGATGCACAAATTCAACACGATTAGAAGAAGAGAGCACTCTGTTTTAAGGAAGGTATAAATCTTATCACAATTCCCTATTGTGTTGTTGATCTGCCAACTTTTATCAAGAGTGCCTTGAATGCATTTAGTTTCCTCCCAATACCCACCTAGAAGGTAAATGCACATCCTTTACAATTTGAAGTTCTTCTCTCACGAATGGGTGTCTCAGACCGTTACATAGCTTGTAGAGAACTGGCTGGTTATATGATTCGATTGAAAAAATTTCAGAAGACCAGTTACAATCAGTAGCCCTCCTTCTCCAGCCTTCTAGTTTACCAGGTTCTAATAGATGCCGAACTTTAACATCAGATAATAGAAGGGGTTCATCGTAACCTATGGGCCTTTTGTGCTTGACAGCTGGATTTGCAAAGATTTTCTTACCTTCTAATGATTTTTTTACAGCTTCATTGGATAATATGTGTATTAACTTCGTAGGAGAATCATTATATTCATTATCATTAATGTGAAGGTCGACAACCCACTCCCTAGATCTATCAGTCAATAGTAAATATAAGTCTATAGCATCTTGGCAAAAAAAGGCATGCTTTTCAAATTCTTGGTGATCTCGCTCAGCAATAGCCACACTTCGTTTAGATTTAGCATACTGAATTCTCATGCCATGTCTAAGAAATAAATCTCTACACTCACCTATATATTTGGTTCCTTTATCCACGATTAAAACTTTTGGCCAGCTAAGTGGACAATTTGGATCATCATAAATTTTCTGATTCTCTTTAGCCATTTGCATAGCTGTTTTATTAGTCAAAGCGAAACTGCGCTGATATCTAGTTGCAATATCCTTTATCACTCCTCAGTATTTATAAGTTTGATTGCCAACTTTATCATAAGGCATAGGTGTAGTATCAGACTGGTGTACTTTATTCAATATTCGTACATTATTAAAAGAAGCATATTGGATAAATTTTGGCCAAGGTTTATGGATTTGATATAAGGCCTGTTTGTTAAGCCAATTTTTTATTATAGCCAAAGTGAACTCATATTCTGCCTTCTTACAAGTATCCCGCATTTTTTCAGCTGTCCGATAATAACCTTCAGGCCTAATAAATTTTTTGCAAAGTAATCTCTCTATTCAAATTATGGACCCTTTGTGGATTAATATAAATTACGGGTTTCTCCATTCCTTTGTTTTATTATAGTAATAAAAAATAATGGATGAGTTACAACAAACTAACCAAGAACTCTATGAGGTGGTATCGCAATTAGCAGAATCAAATAGGAATTTTGAACAGCAACTATATACCTTAGAAAGAGTTATAGGTATATGGGAAGAAAGAATACGATTCCTTGAAGAAGAGTTAGGTAATGCTA